CAGTCAATTGCAGTAGCTAGACATTGATACAATGCAGATGTAGTAGCTCAGCATGCTCAATCGCCGTTCAACGGCTGCTCGTCGACGATGCCCTCACAATGCTGGACCCAGCTACTTCGCATTTGCCTTCGATTTTGCACCACGCGTCTGCCAACTTGGATGAGCGAGCGCCGCAGGTATTCCGGCACCTGAATCAGCATCAACTTGAACAACCGAAACCTGTTTTGGGCGTCGACCACGGGGAGCTTTAGTGGGTGGCGCAGGCACATCAGCAACAGCCTCAGAGGTTGAGGGAACTGGCGTGGGGACTCAACGACGTCCACGGGGTGGATTGATTGATTGGGAGATGGGCGCGACAGGAGCAGGGGTGTGCACTTCCACGTTTGGATGCAAATCCGGCGCCCGTTCCACATCTGAGTGGGCGTTCACGCACTCTACATCGGTTGGAAGGGTCTGGGGGAGTGGGAATGAGCTAGAATTTTTTGAAGTGGGAGCTGAAGAAGTGTCGGCTCCCATACGCAGTCCACGGAACATGGAATCGAGACCTGGGTTTTCATCAGCGTCAACCTGGACACGTGGTGCTTCTTCTTCTTCGTCCTGTGAGTCGGGAGCGAGGAGGAATTGTGGAAAAACTTGCATGTTCCAGTATTGCAGGAGCTTTCGAACGGTTGGCGCATCCTGATTTTCGATTAAAAGCTTTTTGTAAGCTTCTGCCTCGCTTGCGTAGTTGATTCCTGTAAGTTTTCCGACGCCATGCTTGTTCAGCTCAGGATCACCTCCGAGAAGAAAACAAATCTAATAATTTTGTTAGCCAGAGGACTTATATGCCTAATGAAGAGCTGTGAAGCGTACGACAACTGCGGTGTTGCTAATAAATCCAAAGGTAACACCATCTACACGGCCGTGAAAGGGACTGTTTTTGTTGAATGCAGCTCTCTCCAATGTGTATGATCGTGGGCCATAGGCGATGAGACGTGCCATCTAGTATTGTAAGTAGTACGACGAGTGTTTAGAAGT